GGTCCTGTGGGACTGTCCTCGGTCCCCTTCGCCCTCTTGCTCCAAGCACACCCCTTCCCAACGACTTCCAGCTCCCGTCTCTCCTCGGGATGTGCCGACTCCTCTGGGCTTGGCGGCTCTTGTGGCAGCTGCCCTTCTGGCTCTGCACTAGGACCTCGGTGAGCATCTCACTATAGGTCAGGCACAGCACGATGCAGCTCCTCGTGCCCTGCCCGTACCTCAGGGCAGGTCCTCACTATGCCCGGCCGCTCGCCGGGAGCCGAGAGCCTTCGTGCCGGCGCAGCTCCCCCATGTTTATTGTCCTACAGCTGCTGTCCCGCTGGTTCGTGGAGCGGAGACTCTTCCCTGGGCTCCTGCTGCTCCTCTGTGGCTGACCTTTGTTTTTCTGCTCCCGGCCGAGGCAGCTGAGCTTCCAGAGACACTGCTTTGGCACTGCCCCTGCCTTCTCCTTTGCGCTCCTCCACTACTCCTTCCCTCTTTCCCAGGCTCATCTAAAGGAATCTAATTGCTCCCACTTGCAGGGCCCTTGACACGCTGTTCCTGCCCCACCGGCTCCTGCCCCGAGCCCTTGGTACCAGCCTGGGCGTTTTGTTTTAGCTTGGTACGGGCGCTTTCAAGGCTTTCCTTGCGCAGCCCTCGCGAGGCTCTCCCCTCAGCACCCCTCGTGTTTGTCCCGGTTCCTCCATAAGCATCTCATGTGAGGTACCAGCTAAACCAGCCTTGGACAGTGGCCGTGATGCTGCTGTGCCCTGACCCCTGGTTGTTTGGTGATTTCCCACTTATGTGGGATTTTTTTCCTGCTTTTTCGTGGTACGCTTCGTTTTCTGCCCCAAGGGCCTCGCAGCCTCTCCATGTTCTCACTCAGTGGGAAGCTGCGATCCCAGCCAGAAGACTCTGGTGGTACTAGTGGAGAGCACAGCTTGCCTTTGGGTTCCTTTCCCAGCTTTTAAATACGTGAACCCTAAAGCTGCTAAGAAAGCGTAAAAGCTGCTTTTTCAGGGGAGCTCCTTGTGCAGGACGGGTGCAGTGGGATTGGGGGCTGTATCTGGGTGCTCTGCCCAGGTGAAGGTGAAGGCGCCTGTGTGTGACCGGCGGGAGAATTGCCTTCGGATCTCCTAGATGCGCATCTCCGCTGCCTGTGAAACCCTGGAGTAGGGCAGTTCCTGCCCGGTGTCTCTCCAGCAATGCTGGCGTTGGGCTGAGGGTGGGTTCTTGCAGGAGGCTCGTAGAAAATGTCAAGTGTGGGGGGAAAAAAATTGGCCTTTTTATTCTTCTATAAATCGGGGTGAGTAGGCATTGGGCTGGCCGGCGGGGCGGTTGGTGCTCCGGCCTCGGGTGGTGAAGGGATTTGCCCCGAGCGTGGTGGTCTCGTGGGTGCTCCCGCTGCGAGGGGTGGTTGGTCCCTCTCCCCCCACACCCCTGAGAGGAAGCGGCTGCGTTTTGCCGTGGGTATTTCCTAGCATCTACGTTTTGCCATGTCTCGCTGGATTTTTCTGCACTTTGCTGTTAGTGTTGCTTCAGCTGATGTGAAACGTCCATATTATCCAAAGAGGTGTGTGGCTGTTTGACAAAGAATTTGGGCCTTTGAGGGAAAAAAAAAAAAGAGTGCTGGTATTTAAATAATTCTTTGATAATTTAAATAAATGTAATCTCTCTTCCTGGGTCAAGGCTTGTCCTGAGCGCAGGCCGGGCGCGGCCGTGGTTGTTGGCCAAGAGCTGCACGACAGAAATGCCCCTGCGAGGTAACGCTGCGATAGCCGTACCCCTGGGACGTCCCTGTAGCGAGTCGAGAGCTGTCTTGCAGGAGGGTCGCCTCGGCAGTGTGGTCACGCGAGCGGCTCTTAAATGTGAGTTAAACCGGCCACGTCGCGCGCCGAACGCCTGGAGAGGTCGGCTGGCGGAGAGGTCCTGACGCTGAGCAAAAAGCTGGGGTGGGCTCAGTTATAAAATTTCCTGTTTCTTGTCTATATTTCCTCTCCAGTTTAAGCTGAGACACGCTAAGAGTAATTGTGAAGCCGTTCACCCGTCAGATGCGGCCAGTTGCATAACGTGGCTGAAACCCCTGGCACAAAGTCCCTTTTGGACCCAAAAGGCACTTCGTTTGCCTTCGTGCGGCTCGTCCGTGGCCTAGGTGTTGGTCTAGCGTGGATTTTTCCTACTGTGCCGTGCGGGTGAATCTTGTTTTGTGAACATCAGCTCTGAATCGAGGAGCTAAATGGATTCTGCCTTGGCCGAGGTCTGTGTTCAGCCTGGTGGAGACGGTGGTGGAGGTGACGGTGCGAGCTGTGCCCTTTCCTGGTGGCATTTGCCTCGAAGCTGACTCTGGGCTTTGCTGCTGCGTTTGGAGGCTGCGTGTACATCGAATTGTTTAAATCAAAGGTCTCTATATCTTCGGGATCTATTTTGCGTTATGTCATAAGATCTGAAATCAGCGCTGTCTCTGCTGGTGAAGAACAATGCCGGGATGGAAAGAGCACCCAGTGACCAGGGGGTGAATTAGCAGGGGAGTGCTGCATTTTAATTAAATCACAGAAAGCCCGTTTTGATGGGATGGCGGTCTGACAGCTTACTGGGGCTGGTGTTTGGGGGAAAGCTGGCTCCGAACCGTTTCGGGAAGCCGGGCGAGCGCAGGACTGCTCCAGCTGAATGTTCAGTCCTCCGGGCAGAGCAGAGTGCTCCTCGCTCCGCTTCTCACTCCGACAACCAAACGCGGCTCCGCCATGTCAGGGTTGTGAATAACAGTTTCTGGTAGCAAATCCTTGGGCTTTTTGCGTTTGTTGCTATAAAAGCTGGTTCTGGGACATGGGACTTGAGGCTTCTTGACATGGCAGCTGCCGGAGCGGTGCTGGAGTAGCCTGGTGGGAAGGATGGAAAACACCTTCAGCAAAAAAATAGGTGAAAAACAGTGAGGAGCAAAGCTGCAGGTGAGAAGCCGGCTGCGGTGCTGGTGGAGGCAGCGGCCGTGCGATGCTTGGCGTGGGTCTCGCGCCTCTGGCCACGGGGAGCAGGGCCGTCCCAAGGGCTGGCTGTCCCCTCGCGCCACCGTGCTGTTCCTGCCTCGGGTATGGGGTGGGACGATGCTTCTCGCTCACCCACCGGTCTGTAGTGACACTCGGAGGGTGACAGCGACGAGCGGGAAGGATCAGTGCCGCTTGTGGAGGCTCCTCGCTTGATGGCATCGACCTGTTGAGGACGTCACGATCTCTGTGTGTGTCCTCAGCTTTGCTCTCCCGAAGAGGCTGCCTTCTGTGAAAGAGGGTCACTTTGAACAAACAACTTGCTGAATTATCCCTTGGTATCAGCAGGTCAGAGCAGAGCTCCTACGGTCAAAGCGTTCCTGGCATCATCTGTGAAGCCAAGCTCGCTGCGTGTGGGGACGCCCGTGCTAGGTGGGGGCAGGACCCGGCTCTGCCTGCTGGGTGCTGATCCCCCGCCCAGGATCGAGCCCCTCTGCAGGAAAGGCGTGTGGGAGCCCAAGCGGGAGTTTTGCACGGAGAGGAGTCCCGGAAGCACCGGTGTTTCGTGCCCAGCTTCCCGTATGCGAGCGTGCTGTGTCGTTTGTGAGCGGGGGGTCTCGGCCTGGCAGAAAGGCTTTTGAATAATTGCGTTTGGGCTACTAAAAATGAGCTAACCCCCTGTTTCTGTGGCCGCGCTCCTACCGTGGTGGACTCCCTGCCAGACGTCCGCCGGTGCCCACTGACCCTCTGCTCCACGTCGGAGGGAAACGTTGGAAACGAGGAGGGCAATAAAATTTGACAATTAGGTTCCAGTAAAAGCGCGTGAGCTTATTGTTGGCTGGAAAATAGTGGTGTAGTGGCGTGTCCTTAGGCACGGTCTGAGGCGCGAAGGAGTTGTGTGGAAATCCTGGCTGTATTTCTGGCTGGCTTTGAGCAGGACGAGGTCGCCGAGCGGCCGGAGACGCAGTCGCTGCGGTGGGTGCTTTGGGGTTTTCCCGCAACAGATGGTGAATGCGGGAGCAGTGTCAGCGAGGGTGAGCTCCCGCCCAGGGCTCTGGAGCAGGGATGATGCTGAGAGCCTCCCGATGGGAAACCCAGAGACCGGGAGAGCTGTGAGGTGCAGCCACGCCACGCCAAGGGGCTCTGCCGAGGTCGGGACAGCGGGACGGAGAGTGAAGGGATTTGTAGATAGAAACTCTGATTACTGATGTGGCTGGCGTGCAGCGGGAGGGGGTGCAGCGTGGGGAAGGTGGCAGCCTGATAGCGCTCACGGGCACGTGAAACAAACCCATCTATTGTCACCATTCCTATATTTAAATCCTCATATTGTGTCGTTAAATCAAGTGAAGAAGCTAATTAGCGTGTGGATGAGCTTACGGCGCAAGCAGCGCTGTTACTGGCCGACTGAAGCAGAGGTTTGATGGAACAGTTCAGTTTGGAGCCAGATGTCAGGGAGACGAGAGGCGTGGGTGGGAGGTCTGGGGACGGAGGTCGGTGCCGGCTCCGTGGGGACGCGGGAGGTGATTTGGGGAAATCGGTCTCTGGAGGAGAAGGGACGGGGATCCGGGGTCCTTCGTGTGCCGCACAAAAGCTGGTGCCCGGCTGGCGTTAAAGCGCACGTCGGAAAGGGCCGTCCGGCAGCCGTGTCCGAGGAACCGGCAGCGCTTATTGAACGTGTTAATGAGCGTTGGTTTATTAATAGGAGGCGTTTAAAGGGATGTGGAGAAGGCTCTCCGTGTCCGTAGCAGGTGCCCTCTGGACATCTGTGGGCGTAGCTGGTAAAAACTCCCCGACAGCTGCGACTGTTGGAGACCAATTTAAGCCATTACAGCATAAAAAAAAGGAAATTTATACCTGATGATTCTTAGAAAATATGAAGAAGTGGCCTCAAAATAATTAAACAAGAGGTTGCAGGGAGTCAGTAGCCAAGCAGGGTGGTGCCGGAGCTGCAGAGACCGGGCCAGCCGCGTGCTCTGGAGCGGTGGGGTTCTGTTCCCTTGCAGAAACCTGTGCTGGTTTGTGTTGGACCGCTTCCCACCAGCGATGCCCGTCTTGCTGGCTGTGCCGTTCCTCTTGCTGCGCGGGTATCGTAGAAATAGCCCAGGGTGGACAGCTTTTTGTGCCCTTCCTAAGCCAAAGTCGGTGTCGGGGCTTGACGTTACCAAACGCTCGGGTTTTGGGAAGCTCTGGAAATGAGTTGTAAGTCGAAGCCTTCCTCTCCAGTCCCCGGTTCTGACCGCTGGACTGGCCCTTGGACGCGCCATTGATGGAAAAGCTGAGCCCCCCCCGGACCCAGGCACTGAAATGCTGTTACCAACACGCGGCCGATGTGGCCACTGCTGCTTGATGATGAATCTGAATTTTCTCTTTGTCTTTAGCTGCCTTTCCTCATCGACTGAACCTTTTCTACTTGGCCAATGACGTCATACAGAACTGCAAGAGAAAAAACGCAATTGTCTTTCGTGATACGTTTGCAGAAGTGCTCCCCGAAGCTGCTTCGTTAGTGAAGTAAGTAACGGTGTGTTGGAAGGTTGAATGTCTCAAAAAATGTGAGTTTTTCTTCTAACATCTCAAACGGTGTAGAAACACCAGCAAAATTTCAAGGATTTTGTTTGAACAGCCGTGTGGATTTGAGCTTCCCTATGAGGAGCGTGCTGGGACGGGCATAGAGCTGGCTTTTAATTTGCGTGGCGGTCTCATTTGAGTGAAATAATCAGGTGAAGCGGTGTGAGGGGCAAGTCTTGCACCGATACATGTGTGCCCTGTAGTTGTGCTCTCCCCTTGCGTGCAGGCACCGGTGGCTTGTGCTGCTGCCGGGGGGGACGGTGGCAGACTCGGGGGAGCGCTCGCAGCACGGAGGGGTGTGACAAGACGAGGAGGAGGAGGAGGAGGAGGAGGTCTTTGTGGTTTCCAGGGATCTGCCTGTGGTCGAGCACCATGAGAACAAGCCTCGCAGATACTGGTGTAATCCCTGCCTGGCTTCTGCGAGCTTCGCTCTGGCCCCTGTGCTGCTGTACCCCTCTGCTAAAACGTTATTCCAAGGTGACGCTTTCTCAAAGGTGGTTTTGTGCTCCGCTGGAAACTGGAGACTTTAATTTATTAGAGTAACGTGGGATGAAAGGATCTCAGGCTGGCACGTGTCTCAGGCTGGCATGTGTCCCGGCATTACCGCAGGGTACCTTGCTGCCCGCCGCTCTGGTGTCCGAACCGTCCTCGAAGCAGGTGGTCTGTGAGGGGCAGGACATCGTTACAGCACGGAGCAGCTCCTGAGCAGTGAGGTGATGTCGCTGCTCCGCGTGTCTTTGGAACAGAGTTCAAAGCAGCAGATGGCTGAACAGAGCACGAGGCAGGGAAAAGGTTAAACTGGACCGCTCATTAGCTTATATTTAAAAGTAGGTTGCCAGAAGAGAAAGTGGAAAATACTGTGAATAGATGCCAGCACTGAGGAGGAGGAAGGAGGAAGAATTCTGGGAGTATCAACTACCAGAGCAAAAGATAGAAGGAAAAGCTACGGCGAGAATTGCGTGTTACCGCTCCTTTGACAGCCCCAACAGGCTTTCCAACGCCCAGTCTGGTCCAGATACTGGTACAGGAGTGATGAAATGGATTAACAGTTCGGTGAACTTGCCGCTTGCATCTTTTGGTGTTTCTGTACCACGGGGGTGTGACTTGGTGGGCCTTTATGGACCCCGATGGGAGATTTTTTTTGTGTCTCTTCCACGTGCACCTCGCTGGCCCTGGCGGGTGATGTCATTCTGTCTGTCCCTCCGCAAAGCTGTGCATGGCCGGGGACAGCAGTGTCACTCCACGGCAGAACCTTGGTGACCGACCTGCTTCCAGTCGGTTTAAAAAGCGGTCAGATGGGCCAGAAAACGCGTTGCTCTTTCCTGAGGCCCTGAGCTAGAACACAGAACGCAGCAGGGCTCAGAGTCGAGTCGGGCAGCTGCTCAAGTGGTCTTTACAAGGTCCCTCCCAACCCAGGCGGTTCCGTGAAGCCCCCTTCCTTCCATCGCACCCTTCCTTTGCTCCGGGCTTCGAGCCCTGCCGCGGTGCCAGCAGCCGCCCGGGTCCCACAGGGAGCGGTGGTGGCAGCTCCGCTCTCCAGTGAGAGTTTATTATTCTGAGCTCGAGTCCTCTGGGGCAGTCGCTTCTGGTTGTTGGCAGGGTTCGGGCTCGCTGCTGCCCTCGGAGTGCGAAATGCGGGGGGCATGGACTTCAGGTTGCTCGGCAGGAAGCGCTCTTCGTTTGGGTGACGAGCAGGGTGACCACTGGCCTGGTCGCACGTTTCTCCAGGACAGCTCTTGGGATCGCGCCCTGGTGTTGGCCGCGGGTTTAGGGAGAACGCGCATTGAGAGCGGTTGCTTGCAGATGTTTTGTTTGTCAGTTTTTTCCCTTGAAACAGAAGCACCTGGACAAGATGCGTGATGTGACACCAGGCCGTCGCCTTTTCTTTCTTTCTTTCTTTGGAGGCGCTTGCAGGTGACGTTGCCCAACTCCCAAGGCCGATGCTGCTGAGCACAGAGGGGACGTGTGATCAGAGATGAGCGGAGAGCTCGTTGGCTTGCTGAAGTTCAGCACTGCTGATGGCCTTACGCAGTCACGGAAGTCTCTGAAGCAGTTACTCTTCTCTGTGAAGAGAGCAGTGGTTTATTGTGTCCCTGCCCTGGAATAATCACTTTTTCCCAGAGCATCCATATGGAAAGCTGCTTTGGAGGAGTAACAGAAAATTTTTTCCCTGTGAAGAAAGGCTTTGGAGAAATCCTGTTGGTGTTCCTACTGCTCTGAAACCTTCTAATTTTACCCACAAAAGGACCACGATCCGTTACGATACCGAAGTGTGTGTGTGCGTAACTCCAAGCGTGTGAACTTGCTGCCTCAGTCGCAGTGGGACCCCTCGGGTAGAACTGAAGTTGTCACCTGGACAGAGAATTTCCCGGTCTGCAGGGTCTTCTAAAGTTCTGATTTAAACACAGAATTATTTACGTTATTACCCATTCTAGAATCACGAGAAATTACAGCGTAGGGTTAAAGAAAGCCCAATATGCTCTTCTTTTTCAGGGATCCATCCGTTTCCAAATCTATCGAAAGAATCTTCAAAATCTGGGAGGACAGAAACGTGTACCCCGAGGAAACCATTTTGGCACTGAAAGAAGCTCTGAGTAAGTTACTTACCCTTTGCGTTCCTTCCCTTGCAAACCAGTGCATGAGCTGAAAGAAGATGCCTGGAGTCGCTGAGCAAAATGAGTTTATTGCTCGTATCTGTTCTTGCTGTGTTGGCACCTAGTAAAGACTTTAAGGTAGCAAGGTGGTGTACGTGAGCAGGGCTGAGTTCATCTGCTTCGCCTTCTTTGTACCTTTCTAAAAGCAGCTCTGAATCCTTTCACGTAAGCTGGAGTTGTTCCAGCTGAGAGTAAACAGCACGTGAAGGTGAAGTGGTCCTGCAGGTCCTCAGCACGGTGCCCTGGGAGAGGGCTTGTGTCCCTGGCTCTTCCTCTGAGCGTGAGCCGACGCTCGGCCTCCGCGGCGGGGCGAGGAACAGAGGCAGCTTCCTTCCTTTCTAGTCTGTTTTAGCAAGAAGTTGTTTTTACTAATAATATTTGTGGTGTGGGAAAGAGGCTGGAAGCAAAGCCGGTGGAGTGTCCTCAAGTACTTAGAAAAGAACTCTGCTTAAAAGCCGAAATGGCCGATGTTAACTGGAAGCAGGTGTAGTCAGCTCAAACCCGCAATTAGCCGATACTCAAATACTTGAAGGAAATGGGTCCACGTTTCTGCTTCGCTTGCTTACGTCGTTCAGAGCTAAAGGTGCTTCAGGAAATCCTCATGTGTGGTTTCGAGGGCCAGTCGTCGTCACGGCAGGAGAAACACCGTGTCTCGGGTTCAGGCTTTGGCACCTGGAAAGGCTTTAGCTGGGCGTTGCATGCTGAGAAGCGAAGTTTATGCTTATATTCCAAAATGTCTGATTTTTGTAACTTGAAGACAAAAATATGTCAAATTACGTGTAAATTAGGCATCGTGGCTCTTTCCCCGACTTGCGTTACTTGCCTGTTGAATGCTGAGTTCGTAAAAGCCTCCTGGAAGAGCCGAGCAGTAAAGTTTTATTTTCAGATGCCTTGTGTTTTTCCTTTTTACTCTGGTCATTGCTGTGATTTTTGAACTGTCTTAGTGCAAGGGCAAACAGAAACTTGATTTAAAAATGGAAGACCATCCCACAGGTTGCTGTATTCCTGAGTAAACCTAGGTTCTCTTGGGCATCCAGCAGCTCACCTCAGGAAGTTGGTCTAGGTGTTTTAAAACAAATTTCTGTTCACTCTTTTACCGTGCAACCGTATGGCACCAAAAGCCAGATTCTTAAAGGAATCCCATAGTGCCAGACTGCAAAACCTGAAATGTTTTCCAGGTACCACTTTCAAAACTCAGAAGCAGCTGAAAGAAACTCTGAACAAACAACCGAATAAGCCGTGGAAGAAATCGCAAAGTAAGGAAACAATGTGAACTCTCTGAACTAATCTAGACATTGCCTGCTTGAGGAACAGAAGAAAGGCTGGCCCAGACCGGGCAAAGTACCTGGACTAAAACAGGAGCCAGCATGCGTCTTCCAGGCTTGTAAAGCTCCTGACAGACTAATGTGTAACGCACCGAGGAGTTGTTGTAGAGAACCAGTTTTTAAAGGAATGAAGTATGAAAAAAAAATAAAGTCTTTATGAGAGCGGAGGTTATGAACGGTAGAGGAAGGAGCTGGTGGAGCCGCTTGGAAACTGGCGTTAGACTGTGCAGAGATGGAGAGACGACAGACAGAACCCTGTGCTTTGGCAGCAGGAGGTGGACGCTGCCTTCGTGCTCAGGAACACGCCTGCAGCAGCAAGCTAGGTGCTAGGATAGAAGAAAACTGGAAGCTGGCAGTGCCGATAATGAACTTCGGCGTCCGACAGTGCCGGGAGCGCAGTCTAGCGGGAAGCGCGTGCCTGATGCACGGAGCGTACTGATCTCCTGGTACGCTCGGGCCTTGGCTGGTCCGTACAGCGAGGTGGTGGAACAGTAGGTGTCAGACGTGGCGTGCGCCCGCCTGCACGAGTGCTGAGATCAGAAGGTTGGCAGAAGAGTTTGGAAGCGTTTGTTACATCGTTCCCAAACAGCAATGGGCTGTGTTCAGCGTGCATGAAGGGTTTAGCATTCTCCTTCTTGTCGGAGGTTTCTCCTGTTTTGTCCAGACACCAGGGGATTTAGTGTCTCTCGACAGCGGGATTCATTCCCCCCTGCTCTGTTAGTAAGATGTCAGGATAAAGGTGTTAGAGTTTTGAAGGCTGAGAGCACGGTTAGGCCTAGTAAGTACCGAAGGCAGACCCCGTGTGAAGGGAGCGCTGGGCTGTGTGGGTCAGCTCTGAGTCTGGCCCTTAGGAAATCACATTCCCGTCCTTGGAGAGAGGTGTAAACCTTGGAGAGGCTGAGGCTCGTAGACCCACCCCGGCAGGGACTTGTCTTCCCCACAGTAGGGCTGGAACAGATAGGCACAGTAAACTTTTGTAAAATGTTAAAAACAAAAAAAAAAAAAAGGCAAGCAATAGTAGAATTTGTTGACCTGAGTCGCGACCTAGCTGCACGTGGCTGTGTCCTGATTAGCTAACGGGAAGCCGGAGCGCTGAGGGACATCTGTGTGGAGGGGAATATGGAGCGAGTGACAACAGCCGGCCAGTCTTCCGGTGATCTGTGTTAAAATATTGTTATTAGAACTGCCCGACTTTTAGTCGGGGCCTAGTTCCTTGGGTTCTTTATACTTTTTCTTTATTCCAACAGCATCCACGAACCCGAAAGCAGCTTTGAAGTCCAAGATTGTTGCCGAATTCAGGGTAAGTCTGCAAGTGGAAATACTCTGTTGCGCTAACCTCCATCCTTGGGCTGTAGCGTACGCCCACCGGCGGTGTGAGGTTGATGGGAAGCTCGAGTGTTCAGCGTCTGTTTGCTCCTTGGCAGGTAATGCCTGCTAGATGTTTCAGGTGCGGGTTTTGTTAGGGCTGCCACCCCTTCTGTGCGCTGTTAGGGACAACAAGGCAGCTGGAAAGCCTTTGGAGAGCGGTGAGGAGGTTCCCTGTGGAGATGCGGGTTTTCCTTTGGGGTAACCTCGTACAGGAGAGCAGTTTGCCGTAAAGTCCACGGCTCCTACGCCTCGAGGGGCTGGCTGTTATGGACGGCGCTGACCGGGGCGTGCGGTCAGATCAGCCTCTTGGAGGAGCTTAGGGTAGCCGAGGAGTTGGTGGCAAGAAGTCTGTCTAAATCTGGAGTACTGTGTCCAGTTCTGGGCTCCCCAGTTCAAGAAAGATGAAGAGCTACTGGAGAGAGTCCAGCGCAGGGCTACGAGGATGGTGAGGGGACTGGAGCATCTCCCCTACGAGGAGAGGTTGAGGGAACTGGGCTTGTTCAGCCTGAAGAAGAGAAGGCTGCGAGGGGACCTTATAAATGCCTACAAATATCTGAAGGGTGGGTGTCAGGAGGATGGGGCCAAGCTCTTTTCAGTGGTGCCCAGTGACAGGACAAGGGGCAATGGGCACAAACTGAAGCACAGGAAGTTCCGTCTGAACATGAGGAAGAACTTCTTCCCTCTGAGGGTGACGGAGCACTGGAACAGGCTGCCCAGGGAGGTTGTGGAGTCTCCTTCTCTGGAGATATTCAAGACCCACCTGGACAAGGTCCTCTAAATAACAGAGTCAAGAAAAAAAAAAAAAAAAAAAAAGGTCTGTCCCTACTCTTAACCGTCACAACCAAGAGATTTGTAGAATTACAGCCCCTTCCTGGGCCCGAGCCTGCTGATCTGTTTGACTTGAGGTTACAGACCCGGAGATTCGCAGGCTTCGTCTCTGCGTTAGCTCGCGTTTGGAAGCGGGCGTGAACGGGAGCGCTGTTTGTCGCTGAAGCGGGGCTGCGCCGTTAGCTCTGTGCAGCGGGGCTTCTCTTCCGCGGAATGTGATGAGGGTGCTTTTCGTGTTTGATTTTTTCCAGCCCCAGTCTCTCATCGATGAGCTGCTGTTATACAAGCGCTCGGAAGACCAGATAGAACTGAAAGAGAAGCAGCTTTCCACGATGAGAGTGGATGTGTGCAGCACTGAAACACTGAAATGCTTGAAAGGTAAAGGCAGCGTATCGCGAACAAACCCCGACGGAGGCGCGAATACCTGTCCTGACAGTTGTAGGAGCTCCTCGCTGCTGCTGAGCCTTAGACCAGAAACCACACTGCGCTGTAAAATGCCAGAATTTCTGAGTGCAGTTAAGAACCGCCAAGCAGGAGCTGAAAACCTTCGTTAATTGAACCTGTTTGTAGAAATCCGCAGACAGAGCTGAGACAAAGCGGGAGTGATGAAGATGTGTTTTGTACTGTTCAGACGTGCCCTCGTATATCATTCACACACGCATGGTTCTTAATTCAGAATCCCTTACGCAGTTTGGGATGGAAGTTAATTGTAGCCACTCAGGGATGCCTTAGCTTGAGAACGCCGACTGTGAGTCCGGTAGCAAGCGGCGTGTGTTAGGGGTGAATGAGCTGAGTTACGCTGAGCCGTATGAAGAGGAAATTTAATTTTAAAAGTGCAGATAGCTCTAGCTGTGCTTAGTAATCTGTGACTGCGGTCTTTGAAAACGGTCGCAGCTGTGGTAGCTCGCAGATGTTGTGAACCCCGATGATGTTAGGAATCTTCGGTAACGAAGGAAAAATAAACCTCGAGATTTTTGCCTCTTCCGAAATGAAAGTGCAATCTCTGGGTAGCTGAAAGAGTAAAATTTTACACTTCTGTGTCTCAAACTTACTTATCGCTGATAACTAGTTGGAAAACAATAGGTGCTGCCAGCGGCTCTGCCTCTGTGTTTCAGGGGGTGTCGGTGGATGAACAGGGTGG